TTGTTGTTGTTGTTGGTTTGGGGGCCAGTCAAGGGGGAGAAGCCGGGCAGAGGAGCAGGGAATTGTCCAGGGAGGTGGGAACAAGCTCCTCATCGGTTTTCCCCTGTAGATCCCGTATCGCCTTTCAAGATCCAGCTCACAGACATGCAGCCTTCTCAGCCCTTTGGGCTACACCTCTGTTCCAGCTCTGCCATCCTGCGCTGCTTCATGACAGTCTCCCCACCAGGCACCGAAAGCCTGAGCCCAGCGCCTCTGTGTCTTCGGCAACCGGCACCTCGGGTCTCTGGCCCGGAGCCGGGCACGCCATCGCAGTCTCCCTCGGAAGGGAACTAGTTTTGTTCCGATACCAAGATGTTTTAACATTACTTGTTATTTTCCCTAAAATATATCCCAGTAAACTGGCTGTCCCATGAGGGTGTCATGTTGTCACCCTCCACAGGGGTCAACATTTAATGCCCACCACCATTCTGATCAGGAGCCCTGCCTCCCACCGTTTCCTTTTCCCCCATCTCGAGCTGCTTCATCATCATGCCGGGGCGATGCCTCCTGCTCTGGGAAGCTTGGAGATAAGGCATGTCACTGGCACTGTTAAAATTAGCAGTTTCCATGGCCTCAGTCAGTTTGGTTGAACTTAGGAGACATGGGGCGCCAAGGAATGCATGACAGAATTGCCGTTAACCTCGTGTGGGCCATTCCTGAGGCAAAACTGCCATTAGGCTGTTTCTCCCCCTGGAGAAATTCCACCCTTACCAGCCCAACGCTAACCTACGGCCGCAGAGACTCATCAGGATGAAAGCACTCTCCGAGGGTTACGACTTTCACACACGGGTTTGTGGAGCCAGTCCTCTGTAGAAGGAAGCTTTGGTGGGAGTGGGGAATGCTGTCACACCCTCATCCCGGCCCCACTGCCCTCCCTGGGGGCGCAGGCTCCAGGGCCGTCTCTAGAAAGGGGCTTCCCGAGACAGCTGTGCGTCCATGGAGTAAAACTGACCACACTCCATCAAGGAGAACCCCAAATGCATTATCCCCTGAAAACAGGCAGGGCAGTTTAGAGGGTGGACAAGGAGCTGTGCTCTCTGCTCTGGAAAAGGCAGTGTTTGGACAAATGCGATCCAGGGCTCCTTGCTGACTCAGCATTCCGTGAAGGCATCATCCCCGCCCCCCACCCTGAGACACAAACTTGGAAAGAGGAAGATAAAGCAGGTGAAGATTCGCTCACGTGGAATCAAGGGTCCCACCAGTACTTCTGAGGAAGTGTGAGCACGGTGGATGACTAGGTTCCTCTGGGGAGATGGGCCCCCCCACTGACTCCCACGTGGGGCCTCTGCCCTCCAGCAGTGCTTAAGTTCTGGGGAAGCTTCTGGGAGAGCCCAGACAGCCCCTTCTTCCTTCTCAGGGTGCTCCTCTTTCTGGGTGTCTGTGGGTGGTGAGGACACAGAGCCGCCCCAGGGGCTTGGGACGGCATCCCTGAGTACAGGCAGGGCAGAGCCCAGAAACACCAGGAACCCCTTCCTGAGCCAGCCTCCACTCTCTACGGAGAATCCTCTCTATGGAGGTTCATCCAAGGGGTGGAGGCAGCCAAGTGACATTTCAAAAATGGTGACTGAGTGAGCAGGACCCTAAGGCCCTAGGAAGTGTGTATGCAAAAGCTGCTCATTACTCTGCATTAGAGATTCCACAAGTGGAGACTAATTGTGAGTTAGAGAGACAATTCTCACAGTGACAGTAGCAGAAAACCAAGCAAATAAACGACTTGAAGGATGTAAGATTTTGAAATTGTTCAGTACTTATGTGCTAATCTAGGTTTATTCCTCCTTCTCAATAAAATCTGAAATGCCCAGGAAATATTCATGATACACTGTGGGTAACTCAAAAAGGCCAGGTTATATACTAACGGGAACAAAGCCACAAAAGACATAAGGCCCTCTCCTTGGGGACACCAAGGCTGGGACTCCTTCCACTCACTTGCAATCCACTTCTGCACATGGGCACACTAATGCACCTGCTTCAGGGACACGCTTTCATGAGATTAATAATGTGTGGCAAGCGTCAGAAACACAGAATCTCACAGAGAAGATACAGGCAGAGAGAATCACAGTTCAATCCAAAAGCAACACACAGAAGGGACGTCAGAGTCCACACGCATGCAGAGAAGCCGCAGGGAGCAGCTGGGGGACACGCAGAGCCACCCCACACGGGGCAGCAGCAGAATGTGCAACACGGATCTGACTGCTTACCCACTAAGGACACCAAGAACCAGGTTAAGGACGAAAAATGAGCCAAGGATGATCAGACTAACAAAATACACCCATGGCCATTCCCATCCTATCGCATCATTTACCTGTAAAATGTAAGGAGATCAGTTATCAGTTATCCATTTACTAAAGAGCGGAGCCCCCAGGAGCAGCTGCTAGACCACTCAGGGCTTTGAGTGAAGACTACAGCTCTGAGGACAGGGACCCCCACCTAGGACCTTTCATTTTTGTCTTCGGGTACGGACAAGTTCTGCTGCTGAAATCTACAAACCTGGCCTACCAAAAGTCGGCCAGGACCAGCTCATTTAGCTACTGTTTTATACCAATTAATCTGCATATTTGGATCCAGACCAATCAAGCAATTATAAATGTATCTCATTTTAGGACAGACAAAAGGGCAAGCAATGGAATCTATTTAAATCCCAAGCAACAGTGCTGATTAATTTCTGGTCAATAACCGTTCCATAGCTTTCTTTCATAAAGGCTGGTGAGGTTCCAGGAAGCATCTTCATTTGGGAAGCCTCAGCAGGAAAGAAAGCATCTCGGAGGACATAGAACGTGTTTGGCACCCACCCGGCCGCCCCCATCTAGCAAAACCTGTGTGGTCTTGGCAACTGTCCTCAGGACTCTGCTTTCAAGATGAAAGAGGTGTAGCTTACCCGCTCAATACACCAAGTACAAGATTTAGTACGAAAAATGACCCAAAGATGACGAGACTGACAAAATACACCCAGGGCAATTCAAATCCCATAGCATCATTCATCTGCAAGAAATAAGATGGTCTCATAGGAGTGGGTTAATAAGAGCATCTAATAAAGAGAGAGGGTCATTAGAGACAGCATTCTATACATTAAATTAAACATTTACTTAGATTTGAATCAGAGACAACAGTAGCCAAGAAACATTCACTATATATTCCCAACACACACACACACACACACACACACACACACATATGCACACACGCACGCCCATGAAGAGTCATCAAAGCTTTGGGGGCAAATAATAGCAGACTTTGACACAGGCAGGGAAATCAGCTGGGATCTGGCTCTTTCTCACTGAAACAGTCTTGGATCATGGACTTTCAGAATAGATCTTGGTAGATCTATTCTAAACTAGTGCTTAGCTGGAAAGTATTTCCTACTCTACCCAAGTTGTTAGAACTTTCTGCTTTTAAGATTTGTGATGGTGGAAAAGTCTTACTTAGAGAGACAAACTTGCAACATCTGACTCTATAAATTCTTTTCCTTAAAAAAAAAAAAAACCCTAAAATAATAAATTTCTATTGGAAGCCACCCTATCCAAAGAAACCTAACCCACCTAAAATCTAGATTATCTGCCATCAGTGAGTGCAAGTACAGCTCAATGAACACAAAGAGGAAAGTGCTCAGAAGTCCGCTAGCTGACATGCGTTCAACGGTGCTTTGGGGAATGAGATTTTTGCCAACTGCATCAAGGAAGGACCCAGGAAAAAGAAAGAAGCACTTATCCCCCACACCTACCTTGACCTAGATGACCCACCCTGGGAGAGCTGGCTCTAGCTGTGAGCTGACTGGGATGAGGTGAAAGAGGGCTGGTCCAGAGGAACCCTGTGCCCACTACTTCTGGAACAATCTCAAGCAGCACAGTTAGACGTGGCCTCCATGGCAGACCCTCACAGGGGAGGTTTGGTCATGAGTAGGTCTCATGCAGGAGCAAACAGGTGCTTTGAGGTTCATGGCTAAAGATGGAACTTCCCAGCAGCACAGATCCGTGTTAAATTAGGCAAACACGTCTCCCAGGAAGGAGGTATTAAAGACCAGTCCAGGGACAAAATAAATGACTGCAGGCCTGACTTTGCTGAACACCCAGAATCTTGGCCAACAGAACTAAATGTGGTCTGTGAGAGTCATGGTTCTTGCCTCGAGGGTGCAAGCCCCTTCGGCCTTGAAGCATGTGATTTCTTCCATATTATCTGGCTCCTGATTTTAGCTTTGCAGAATGAAGTGCATGCATTTCACTATGTTTGCCTCATGCAGAAGCCAAACAGGAAAAGAGAACATGAAAAAAAAAAAAAAAGACTTAACATCTGTTGCTGAAGTCTAGGGAGAGGGCATTAAATCCCTTATGAAACACCTGTTTGGCCACATGAAAATTGATGTGCTTAATAGAACTCCTATCAGTCTGCACATCTCACATTGGCAATTAGAGTAATGAATGAACCAGGGCCATGGCTGCAATTGTTGACCTAATTAAGCTGGATAAACTAATTTCAGAAGGAAGGCAGAGGGTAATTCTTCCAAAGCAACGACACCACCAACCTTATTTAAAAACCCGTGTATAGAGGAGAAGAACCAGGCTGCCCGGCGTAGTGGCCAGAGCCCAGCCTGGAGTCCGGACCTTCCATGGAGACCTCTCTGGGCCTGTCTCCTCTGTGTGGGAGCAGGGCAGGAGACAGGGGAGAGCGTGCTCATGGGGTGAGGGAAGGATGGGCCAAGTCCGGGACTCCCATCAGGAGAACTCACCCTTGTACAGCCCTGGTGCTAGATGGCCCGCCCTGGGAGAGCTGGCTCCAGCAGTGAGCTGACCAGGATGAGGTGAAACAGGGCTGGTCAGCGGCCAGGCCAACTGCTTTACCAATCCTCATTCAGATCTCAGTCTGCTCTTCCAGGGAATGTTCTAGGAACAGCAGTCTGCTCCACTTGGGAGGGCACTTTATTTTTAATTAAAGCAGCTTTTAACTTCTTAGGATTAGGTGTTGGACAGATTCACATTTACGTGGAGCAGAAATACCAACTGGAATGATAGCTGGGGGCTGGAGGGAAGGCCACAGAAGACGGTCTCTAACTCCCCAGAAGGTGGGGGATGAGAAACAAAACTTCAGCTCTCAGGGCCAGTCTTCCTCCAAAACTAAATCTCAACCCAAGTCTCTTCTCAGAGGCTAGTATTTCTCAGACCTTACCGTATACACAAGTCAGAACTGGCAAGGTTTTCCCCAAAATATCCAAATGACAATAAAGACTCTGCTGGGGATTTTGTCTGCATGTGGTCTTTATCAACAAGGAAAAAATCAGCATGAGCTGAAGGATTTCAATTTAGATTCATTCTCAAAAGATTCATATCAAAAGTCATCATGTGGGGTCACCTGGTACCTAGAAAATAATATTCTATTTAGTTTATGTTTTTCCTCTCATTTCAAAGGCTGAGATGCACATTCTTATCTCCAATTAAAGACCAACCTAAGGCTTTTTTTTTTTCTAACTGGTGAAAACACTCGTGGTTTACTGGTTGTGGCTCCCCATGCCAGGAATAAGAGAAAGGCACAGAAAGGCATGCCCTCAGCCAATGCGAGGAATTTCCCAGGTGTCTTGAATGAAATAGATGGTCAATTTGGCCATGAGAACTTCCCACTGGAGTCTGGCAGCCCGCACCTCCACAGGTGTGTTCAATGAGGAAAGAGCTTGGCGTTAAGGCAAGAGGTCATAAATGTTTTATATATGAATAGTTCTCTCCTGATACCAACACTATTTTAATTTCCTATCCTTAAAAAGATTTCCTCTGAATTGAAGAAGAATTGGATCATGTAGTCTAACTGTGCATCTTGTAGACAAGAAAACTAAAGCCCAGAAGGTTGTGGTGACCTACTGAAGGTCAGGCACCCAGCCCTATCCAGCCTTCATGCTCTTCCCTTGCCCTACACCCTGCTGCCTCCGTAGACAACAAATATGTGTGGGTCAGATGGCAGTGTAATTATGCTTATGGAACTCACTTTATAAAAGAGCTCTAGAAGGACTTTTTTTCCCACCAGAAATTGTTAATCCCACTCCCACACATCCGAATGGTTCTAAGTATGTCTTCCTGCATATCAGACCCACCTGCACTTTTCTCAAGACCCAGCCAGCCCTTTGCCAGAAATTCTTGAGAATCAGGCATCAGTGAGCTTGAGAACACTGACTGAATAGAAGCTTGACAAGATGTGAAGTAATCCCTGGTGAAGACTTTGCCCACCATATACAAATGCCTAAAGGATTGAGAAACTTGCTCTCAATCAATATCTACAATCTAATCTCCTTGGTCATCTCTCAAGATGTGCCCTTTACACCCTAGTTGTGCACAAAAAAATGATATTTAAACATGGCCCTTCTACGCTGAGGCAATGGGATTATACCAGGAGGAGTAAGAGTAACAAGTATTTGTCGAGCACCTGCTCTGTACCAGGCACAGCTGTGTATCTTCCACCTGACCACAGCCCATTAAATATTAAGAAGGTTTGGTGTCTTGGCTCTTGTCTATCTCTGATGAGTTAATAAATGTAATCAATAAGTAATTAAAAACAACCTGATGTGTTTCAGAGGATTAAGATCTTAGTGAACTGTATGGGAGATTACTTAGCTGCCCTCTAGTGTTCTAGAATGATTCACAAACCTCCTACAGTAGAGAATGCCAAGGAAAGAGTGCTGAGTTCCAGGCTAGGGCAGGGGTTACCAAACTATGACCTGTGGGCCAAACCCAGCCCACCACCTGCCTTTGCACAGCCCATGACCTTCAAAATCCCAGACCTTCTAAGAAAGGGATATAGACTGAGATAATGTTGATAAGTTACTTGAGTTCCTCCATTAGAATGAAGATGCCCTGTAATTCACAGAGAATATAATTATTATATTGTCAAATTATTAACTCTGTGATTGTTGTATTAACAATAGACATAATAATTATACAATCCTAGGTGATACTTAAAGGTTCTGAGGAAAGCAATGGGAACTTTTGTTTCTGGGTGCATGGAGTTTTCTCTCCTTTAATCACATACTCCCAGTTCTCACTTGCTTGACAACAGGAAAATTGTCATGAGAGAATCCATGTGCAAAAATATAACAAAGTATAAAACTGTGTATTAGTCAAGGCATGTTGGATCAGCAGTGGACAACTCACTCTGACAACAGAGAGAACAGCAGAGCTGAGAGGAGTCACACATTTTTTTTAAATCAAAATGTTTCTGTCCTGTTTGGTGGAGGGGGCAGGGATCAAAGTTTGGGCTATTTGGATGAATCTTTTCTATGTATCAGAAACTTCAAGGCAAGAGTGAGAGTGAGACCTCAACTAATCTAACCAGGATTTGCAACTTTTGAAGATAATACTGACAATGAACCCTTTATCTAATTTGAAGGTCCCCTTGCTATGACCATGATCTTGGCTCATCCAATATAATTTCCCTCCTTCTTCCTCTTCATGAAAGGCATTATCTTATGGATATAAATAACACACATGCATTACCACACACGCACACAGACACACACAGACACGCAGACACACACTCTCTCTCTCTCTCTCTCTTTCCTAGGATGATAAGAAAAAGGAAGGGAAGAGAGAGAAACAAGATACAACATGTTGGTGATGCTCCAAACTTTTTACCAAACTAGACTCATGCTTTGGGGAAGAAAATAAAAACATATCTTCTTTACCTAACATTGACTATGTAAGGACTTCTACAATCCTGTAAGCATGGTGTTCACTGGTTAAGGGAAGCAAAAACCTATTTATAACCATCGTGTGTCAGGTTCTCTGAAGTTATAAAGGAATATGGAACCCTACAAAGAGTCTAAATTTTAGACACTGCCAGAAGTTACTTCTCAATTTCTAACTAAAGACTGCCCATTCAAGAAGTACTTTATTACTAATTGCCTTTTAACAAATCATTATTGGAAACCTGATTAATCCCATTTGAACTTGGGTTTAGGCTCAAAATCTGCATGTCAGCTGTTTTTCCCAGCAATCTGTGCCATGGAAATTAATTTCTAAACTTCTGTGAGCTTTTTCAAAATTCTACCAAATAAGTAAGCAAACAAACAAACTCAGCTCTGGGAAATAGCTGTTAAAATACTACTGTTCTTCATTTATAGCAAACCCTTCTGGCTCTGTCAGGAACAAGAAGAACCAGACCTTAGCCATAGAAAGGGCTGCAATGTCTGTCTGTTGTCATTGCAGGTTGGATGGGTCCACCAGCCCTGGAAGTTTGATGTGCCTTTCCCACCCTCCCTGCCAGACTTCTAGAGCTCCAAACAGAAAAGGAGAGAGAGGTAGGGGCTTGTGCTGGGCTGATTTATGGGAATGCTGAAGATGCAAAAGGGAAACAGTATAATAAGGGAAAAATCCATTTTGGCCTGAAGGTTGTACTAAGTTCATGGAAAGCATAAAAGTGATCCAATTTATATTCCCTATCTTCTGTTTAGGATCTGGCAGAGCAACCTACATTTATGTTAAAACAAAACAAAACAAGCTCATGGAAGTCCAGAGGCCTCTTGACTTGGAAAATAACCCCTGGCTCTCTAAGAGTTTAACTCAGAATGGCCCTGACTTTGGGATTTCCTCTAAAGCAAGGACTCGTGGGCACACTAAGCAGCAAGTCCCCCACGTAGAATGGGGGAGTGGGGGCAGCCCACCTTACACAGTGGCTTTCTGGAATAGAAACTAGGGCCCTGAGGAAGAAAGAGGAGGAGTCTTAGAGAGTGAGGAGAGGGTCTGCTTCCCTTCCCAAGAACTGACTGCCAGGGTTTCTTTTTCAGCTAACTCTTCAACGGCTCTAGCGAATGCAACACTCTTAACCAAAGAAAGAACACTCCACGCACCCTGTCCTCCAGCTGCTTACCCAGTAGAGCACGTCTGTCCAGCCCTCCATGGTGATGCACTGAAACACGGTGAGCATGGCAAAGGCAAAGTTATCAAAGTTGGTGATGCCTCCGTTTGGGCCAACCCAGCCACTCCTGCACTCAGTGCCATTGGCCGCGCACTGGCGTCCATTCCCTGAGAACGCACACGGCGCTGGGTCCTCTTCGGCCAGGATATCTGCAAACAGAGCACACGGGCTTCACCACTCCAGACACGAGCACCAGGAAGCCCCAAGCCGGCGGAAGCGGAGTGCCCTTGCCAGAGCCTGGAACACCGGCCTCCCAGCTTGCTGTCAGGCTCCCACTTGACCCTCAAGGTCCACCTCCAAGACTCCCTCCTCCATAGCATATGCCATCTCTGTACTCGGGATCCACGGCTCTCTCCTCCACCCTGACCCTATAGGACCTTTCTTAAGTGCACAGAGAACAATGGTGGGGATTCTACTCAGGTTCTAGTATTGGGGGCACCTCATCTTCTTTGCCAGGAATACACAGGAAATCAGGATAGAAAAGGAGATTAAATCCTCATTTATTGTGAACACAATTCACGCTAAGAACTGGCTGGTTCTTACTGGCTTTACTGGTATATTTGGCTTCCACCCCGCACCATTTTGTTTTAGATTTTCCCAAAACCACACAAGTTATTTTGGGAAAAATTAATTTTTTTAAAAGTTAGGTTAGCTACCGTTTTCATTACTCACCTGTGTCAGCAAAAAAACATGTTTTGTGCATTTTTCCAATAAAAAGTTCCAATCCTATAATAGCATAGATTATGATTACAAATAATACCAAAAGGGCTATGTGAAGGAGGGGAACCATGGCTTTTATAATGGAGTTCAGGACAACTTGTAAACCTAGGAGAGAGAGAAATAAGTTTGTGAGCCAGGGAGACACTTCAAGGATATATACATATACATATACTTCAAGGATATATATATATATTACGTGTATACATACATAGACATACACACGCACATATATATATATAAATACACATAAAATTCCTGATGCCTTGATGCCTGCTCCATATAGGACACACAGTAATAAAACTCAGAGATATTTAACATTAAATTAGCATTAAACCTGGATGTGAGATAAGTTAAAAAGGACCCTAAAAGACCCTCTAATCCAACTGCCTCACTCAGCAGATGGAAAAACTAAGGCCCAGAGGGAGGACTTACTGCCCAATATCAAAGTCAGTGATTCATTCATGCATTCGTTCATCCACTCAACAAAATCCCTTGAACAGCTACCATGTGGCAAGCGTAAAGTTTAGTGCTTTGGGAAATATGAAGATGTATTACATAAAGTGCCTTCTCTCAAAGAGGGTATGTTCTAGAAGGAGACATGAGAATTAAACACAAATTACCCTAGGGTAGCACACAGACGCTAGAGTCGAACACTTAAAATTAAAGAGGGATGGATGAAAGACACCGCTTCTGAGTGGCGATAAGACAGAGGACCGGGCAGCAGCCCCCTCTCACCAGGGCCTAAAGGTGGAAGAAGGTGGATTTGCACAGGTGGGCCTAGGAGAGGGGCCACTCTGGCCAGAGGGAAGAGCACCAGAAGCACGGAGGTGAGCCAGGCAATGTGGGCCGGGTGCCCGTGAGTCTTGGTTGGTGGTCACACGGTGGGAAGATCAGGAAAGAAAAACAGATTGCAGCAAGGTAGCTCTGGGTATTAAATTCGGATTACAGGCCTGGACTTGAGTCCATCGGCAAAACCCCCTTGCCTAACCAACAGCAAGCCTGTCGAAAGGAGGCTCCCCCTGGAATTCCAGAGGGAGGGAGGAGAGGGGCAAGAGCTGCTTTGCACGGGGGAAGCAGGATGATGGGCGCAGCATTAAGAGGGAAGCACTGTGCAGCTGGGACGTGGACTTGAGAGACGAGGATGGGGCACAGACACCAGGGAGCTCTGCACAGAGCAACACTCCGAGCTGCAGTGCAGGACGGGAGTGAGATCACGGGAAGAGGGTAGGCGAGGCAACCCTGAGGTTAGGAGCAGGTGGGCAGAAGCAGCAGACTGAGGGTCAGAAAGAAACCAGAACCCACACTGCAGCCAGGCTTCCGGACTCCTGGGTTTAGCGCCCGCGTTCTCCCCCCACCCCATGAGCACAGATGCTGCTCTGTGCCCTTCACGCGTTCCCCATTCTTCCCTCTCTTCCCCTACACCTCCCCGCCGTCTCTCCCCCTTCACACTGCTCTTTTAGAGTATCTTCTCACTCTCCCAATACATACTCAAAGAATGAAAGAGCCTAAGAAGCTGAGACGCTAGAAGGAAGACAGAAGTCACAACACACCAAGCAAAGAGAATATTCATTAGCAACAGCAACGAGAGTTGACTGTGATTGGAAGTACACAGAAAAGAGGGGAGGGATGAGATGCGGAGGGAAAACCGAGAAGAGGATTTCAGACTCAGGAAGAGCCTGTCTTCCCAAGACCCTCATTACAACCCAAATCCTAGGTATTACCTTCAGATATTTAAATGTTCAAGTGGTTTTAGAAAAGAAATGATTAATAGGATGACTTTTAAGGTTTTCACCTTTTATCAGGCATTAGATGAAAAGAAGTAACTGCTCTAATGTACTCAGGGGTTTGTTTTATCATTGGGGTTTTTGGTTTTGTTTGTTTGGTTGGTTGGTTGGTTTTTGTTTTGTGTGTTTGTTTGTTTTTTTCCCAGACATGGATGGGCCATTCAAAATCATCATCTGGCAGTTAGCTCTTCTAAATTCTATGGAAATTCTATGGTAGGGAGCTGTGTGATTCATGAACATGTTTGTTCGTTGTATCTACTGTATTTCCGATCGGCCAAATTTATGAGATAATGAAGTTTATCTTAATGTGAATGTGTAGACTTTCCTGACATTAGGCTCCTTTGTACATGATCAGCGCATACAACAGAGCTCACGGGACTCCAGTTCGGGACACAGTGGGGTGGAATGGAAAGAACACTAGGCCAGGAACCAGGAGAGTGTCCATCTGTCCCCATTCAGCCACCCACTGGCTGTGAGAATCTGCACGAGTTGCTGCCCCTCCACAGCCCTTGTCTTCCTTGTCTAAAAGATGATGCCCATGGACCAGACGGTCTGTAGGGTTCTTTCCCATTTGATGGTCCAGGACTCCGATCAATATTTATCATTTGAGTATGGGTGGTTAATAACTCCACAAATGTCTGAACTCTCTTTTACAATATATATTTTCCTGCCAATCAATATATATTCACAAACACACACAAAATCGTGTCTTATAGAACAGTCTGAATTCTCTATAGAAGGCACAAGACAATTCCCAGGTAAGTATAAGCAGTCACACCTTCCCCGGCATTTTTAACAATTTCAGGGTTCTTAAGAAATCACCAGGCCCCAGTTGACAACCAGCATGGAAAACATCATGACCCAGAGCCCCCCAAAACACCATCTCCCCCAAGCCCAGTTGGGGCTGATGAGAGACTTGGGTGTTCTCCACTAGGGCAATTAATAAATGTGGGCTGAAAAGTCCTCAACAAGACTCAGGTCCCCATTTCCCCCTGCTGACCTCTGGGAGAGTGTGATGTAGAGCTCCATCCTGTTACAAAGGAGACAAGGAAGAAATCTAGTTTAAAACGTGTTCTCAAGAACACCCGGGAATTCTAGACTAGTCATTTAGTGAAAACCTCGTTAAACAAGGAAGCCAAAACAATGATCGGTGAGTTTGGGAAGCTTCACCGGCCAGACTTACATGCATGAAGCCACAGCACCCACTTGTCCTTACAACATATGCTGCAAACAGGCTGTCCTGTCATTTGCTCTTTGGGGGAAAAAAGGCTGTCGTGGTAACTTTGAGACTGGATGAGGCTATAACAACTAAATCTGAAAGAACATGCTTGCTCATTGAACTTCTCATTTCATCATGTTACACATAACAAAACCAGTCATTTCCAAGGTGTTTCTATTTTTCTCAATTGCTTCCAGACAGCTCTGTGGTTTTGACTTGTGCTGATCTTTTTCAATGAAAATAAATGAACCATCTGGAAAAACAAGTACACATAAAACACCACTTCCTACATTTTAAAATGTTAAATTTGGAAATCTTTTTTTTTTCCCAGGGAATTTTTGGTGTGTCCCGAGTGCCAACAGGTTTAATACAATTTCATGAAGAACTTCTGGAGAGGCAAAAACATGATCTGTGCTCTTTTGATGGCTTTGTGAGTCATGAAAAACAGGCACACCCTATTGTCCCATATCCTTCCTCCAGCTGGAGCAGGCAGCTGCCGCCACAACCCTTGGAGAGGTGCTAGGACTTCTACCTTCAAGTCCCCACCACGGGTGTCCCTTCAGGGACAGATCCCCGTGAAGCACACTCCATGCTCCTTAGGGGAGCAGAAGCAGCCTACAGCTGCCGGCCAGAGCACAGCAAGAGCATCTGTCCCAGCTCAGGTGACACTCAACCTGGCCCAGACATCTGGAGCAAAAAGCAAACTAGGGCCTGGCATGGACTGGTATCATAGCCTAGTGGAGGAAAACAGCATCTCTCGCCATGGAGGGCCACCTCTGCTCCAGATCTTGTGCTGCGGGGGCTCTCCCTGATTCATCTCAATCGGTCCTCCAAACCACCTGCAAGCAGGTCCTACACTACCCTACATACGGGGAGGACCTGGAAGCATCCGCTTCTTCCCCCAGAGCCGGACTTGTACAACTCCTAAGAGTGGAGAGCTGAGCAGACGTTCCAGGAGTCCAGCCCCCTGTTGCTGCTCACTTTGAAGAAAGGCAGTAGGCTGGGAGCCCTGCAATACCCTCCTCCTCTGCATTAGCCACCACTCTCAGAGGGGCAGGCCTGGGAGCGGGAGGAGGTGGTGGCTGCGAGGTGTCCAAGAAGGAAAACCAGCCTGGAATCAGGAGGCCTGACTTCAAGGCCTCATGTCACCACTCGCTCGGTGTCTCTGTAAGAGAAGAGTCTCCTACAAACTCAGGAAGACAACAGTCACTACCGGCCCTTTCTCGGGGCCATCACGGGGGTCCAAGGTGACCATGCAAGCGTCGTGAACCGTGAAGGCCTCCGTGGTCGTCTGCGGAGCCCCTGGCTGGCACACCGCAACTCACCTGGCAGCGCTCGGCTCCAGAATCCTGAGCCCCACCCAGAAGAAAAACCAAGTCAACAAACTCCTGGCTTTAGGAAACAAGACGTGCTTACTGGGCACTCCTGACACTAGTCGAAGTGGTCGTAACACCCGAAAGGCGCGGAGGGCTTTGACATCAAAGCCTCCTGACTTGCCACTGGAGTGGTTACCGCCTTCTGTTTCTTTGGTTAATTGTTCCAGAATTACACTAAACAATCTGAAAAAAAGAAGAAAGGAAGAGAAGTTAGAGTCTGTCACCCAGGGAAGCAGCACGGGAGGATAATAGTAGTTATTTCTGCACAAGGGCTAATTCTGAGGGACTGCTGCCTACATGGAAGGGAAGCAGGGCAAAGGCAAGAATCAGACTGTGAATCCCGAAAGCCACCCCTACCTGTGACATGACTGGGACAAGGACCGAGCTTGGCTGTTCTCCTGCCAACCCTGAGCAAGTCCGGTCCCACAGAAGAGGGGACTCACCAGGGATCCAACGACGACAGGTGGACACCCCGGAACATAAGTCTCGAGGACAACCAACATGGCGGCTACTACCTTCCATGCACATTCACTATGTGCCAAACACTTTACATACATTATCTCAGTCCTCACAAAGTGTTATGCAGTAGGGATTCTTATCATCTTACACGTGAGGAAACACACTTGATGAGAACAAGTAACTTGCCCAGGGTCACACTATTAGTGTAGAACTAACGAACGAGTCCGGGTATGTTGGCCTCCCCAGTATCCACGTCCCATGAGGGCAGGGACTTTTAGTCTGTATTGTTCATTTGTTCGTTTAGTCTGTTCAAGCCTAGTGCCCAGAACAGTTCTCAACACAGAAGGTGCTCGAGAAATATCTGAGGAGTAAATCAATGGGTGAATGAATATTGACTTCAAAGTCCCAAATCTTAATCAACATGTTACACCATTTCTGGTACAGACCCTGACACACACACACACACACACACACACACACACACACACACACACACACCCTCCACCCGCACAGGGATGTTCAAGGAATGATGTAAATCACAGATGCTGAGGAGTTGTGCAAAGGCCAAAAGCAGTAACCCAAGGTAAGGGATTAATATCGTCATTTTCTCTTTTGAAATGTGCATAATATTGTATCTGGCAGCCACGACACATTTTTCCTACTCTCCAAAGGTTTTTCGGATAGCTATTTTCAGACAATCTGCTCACTTGACGGTTACTTTTGCTCTTTCAAATAAACATTTATTCTTTGGAATTATTGCTTGTTTTTCAGAATAAATATAAATTTGCCCATTTCAAATAGAATCAACTCCGGCCAATCAGATTGTGGGGATGACTGGCCCAGCAACAAAGAAAAGGTTTCCAAAGTTTAATTAGGAGCTGAAGCAGAAACTCTGCCCCCACTGGCATGCCTCTGGACTGCCAAGACATGAAGTCCATAAAATACAGGGTGGTCTGATTACAGTCCTGATCAGGCATAGTCCTATCGTTCTGGGGCACTGAAAGACCAGCCATTTGTTTTAACAACACTACAGCAATTAGCAGTGAATCTAGCTGGGGGCAGAGGTGGGTGGCGCCACGGGGAGAATAAATCAAGCCTCTACCTTTTCAAACCTTCAGATGGTGGGCTCTCTCTAGTTATGACTGGGGAAATAGGTCAAATTTATGACCCGTTTCTCTCATTAGAATAGTTTTTTTTTTTTTAATTACTGTAAACCCCTGCAGCAAGGCTCAAGTTAAAAGTCTCCCCTCCAAAACAAGTTCATAGCCTCCCAAAAACAAAGAACAAGGAAGAAGGAAAACCTCAAACTCTTCTGAAATGTGGCAGCCACAGGAATTTTCATCCCAAAGGGTTAGGAAAGTAATTTATGCAGGTGGTGACTGAAGATCACTTTCAAGTGTCTATGTTTTACAGTGCATACTTCATGGTCCTTTTACCCCTTGTTCTTCAGCAATGCCCTTGAAAACAGGTGAATGATGTCTCGCTCCCATTACAAAGGAACCTGAGCCAGAGAGGGAAGCTAGCTGCCTTCTCCAGATAGCCAGGGGTGGAAGGGGCTGGGGCTGGCTTCCATTCCTAAGAGTTAGGAGGCTTTAGGAAAGTTCCTCTCCTCCTCTGGTCCTTAGTTCTCCCCACCCTCTGTAAAAGGAGAAAACTGGATTAAATGATCCAGAGCCCTGCCCTTCCCAGTCTAATATTCTGTGATTCTACTCCCTTCACCACTCATGCCCACCACCCCCAACAAAAAAAGTACCACATGCCTGGAGAGTTCAGGACATGAAGAGAAAGTATTTGATTCTAGAGTGTTACAAAGTTTACCCCAATGCAGGAGCAAAAGGCAAGGAGCTACCGAAATGGACTCAAGTTAGAAATGAGCACCCCATGTTCTTCTTCACAAAAGCTTAAGTGATGAGCCTGAAATATATGTTGACTGAAACATTTGGTGGGTGGAATAAACTTTTCTATACAGGGAACACTATCAGCTCTGGTAGACACATTGAGTCCTCTTGTGGTCACACTATTAACGGTTAACATTTTAGAAGTATCAATTACTTCCTTAATGTCTCTGTTATTGGGAATCTTGACAAAAGTAATAGGTCACAGTTGGCTTGGAATGGAAAATCCATTGGATTGAGATACAGCCTGCAGTTAGAAACTTTAGTGAGAAGAAATTTGATTCCCATGAAGACCTAATAACTTTTTTTCTTTAACTTTTCTTCTGCTCTTTGACTATAATTTAGTGCATATTTTGGATAAAAAAATAATCAGATGTTCTCAAGTTCTTCATATTTAATGAGAAAGACCAATGAGACCATTCCTATTTTAGTTTCCTAGGTAATTTTTTTTTACTTTTTAAGTCAACTTTATTACAGCTCAACTTATATATGATAAAATACATCTATTTAAAGTGTACAATGAGAGGAGTCTTAACAAATGTAGAAGTCCAAGTGCAAACACCACAGTCAAGATCTAGAACATTTCCACCATCCCCAGTAGTTCTTTAATGGCTCTGTGCAATTATCTCCCTCTCAGCTCAGCCTTTGGTATCCACTGATTGTCTATCACTTTGGGTTGTTTTTTTCCCTTTTCCAGAATCTTTTATAAATGAAATCATACAACATATGTTCTTCTTTTAACTTCTTTTGCTCCCCATGTTTTTGAGACTTATCCAAGTTGTTACATTTATCCACAGTTCATTTCTTTTTATTGTTGGGATATTCCATTGAATGAATATACCACAATGAAACTATCCATTCACCTGTTAGGAGATATCTGGGTTGTTTCCAGTTTTTCTCCATTATGAATAAAGTCTCTGTGAGCATGTGTTTTCATTTATCTTGGGTAAGTATCTAAGAGTAGTGCTGGTAATATGGTCCTGTGGTTAGTGTATGATTAACATTTTAAGAAGCTGGCAAACTTTTCCAAAGTGACTACACCATTTTCCATTTCTACAAGCAGTGTATGAGAGTTCCAGTTGCTCCGTATCTTGGCTGAGATATGGTATTGAGAGTCTTTTTATATTTAGTAATGCTAGTGGGTATGTAGTGTGTCACTGGGATTTTAATTTGCACTTCCCTAATTTCTAATGATGTTGAACATCTTTTCAGATGCCTGTTAACCATTTATATATCTTCTTTTGTGAAGATCTATTTGAATCTTCTGCCCATTTATATACTGGGTTGTCTTCTCACTAATGGGTTATAAGAATTCTTTATATATTCTGAATGCAAGTCCTTTGTCATATATCTGTATTGTGAATATTTTTTCCTAACCTGTGTCTTAATTTTTAATTTTCTTCACACTATCTTTTGAAGAAAAATTTTAAATTTTGGTAAGCTCCAAAATTTCAATGATTTCTTTTATGGCTGGTGCTTTTGGGGTCCTAAAAAATCTCTGCCTGCCCCAGGGTCATAAAGATCTTCCCCCAGGCATTATATAGTTTTAGCTTTCACATATAGGTCTATGATCCATTTTAAGGTAATATTTGTGTATGTTATAAGGAAAGAATAAAGATTCTTTTTTTTCATATGGATAAATAGTTGTTCCAATGCCATTTGTTAAAAACTGACTACAATTTAGTACTACAACTTATAACTCAACTCACTGAAGTATCAAGGCACCTTTGTCTAAAATCAATTGATCACATACATATAGGTCTATTTCTAGAATCCCTAATTCTGTTCCATTGATCTTTATGTCTACTTCTTATGCCAACATCATACAGTAGTCTTGACTACCGTAGCTTTATATTAAGCCCTAAGATCAGGTTCCAGCTTTGTTCTTAAATATTTCTTTGGCTAATCTAGAGCCTCTTTAACTTCCATATAAGTTTTAGAATAAATTGTCAATCTGTACAACAATCCTGCTGGGATTTAGATTAGGATTCAATCTATAGCTCAGTTTGAGAAGAACTAATAGCCTAACAATAACTGAGCCGTCCAATCCATGAACATGGTACATCATTCCATTTATTTAGGTATTCTTTAATTGCTCTCAGCAAAGTTTAGTCATTTGTAGTGTGCTGTTTATCCCTAAATATTTCATGCTTTTTGATGCTATAGTAAATAATGTCTTTAAAATTTCATTTTCCAATTGTTCATGACTAGGATATAGAAATTCACATGTTTTAATACTGATCTTCTCTCCAGAAACATTGCTAAATTCATTCAGAATACATAATTTTGTATGATGTTAATACTCTTAAATTCACTGAAACTTATTTTATGGCCCAGAATATTTCTTGGTCAATGTTCCATGTGCATGTGAAAAGAATGTGCTTTCTGGTCTTGAGTGTTCTAAAAATGTCAGTTAAGTCAAGCTAGGTGGTATTGTTCAAATATCCCTATATACTTAGTGATTTTCTGTCTAGATGTTCTATCAATACTCAAGGGAGAAGTATTAAAATGTACAACTACAATAATGGAATAAAACTCCTTTCAGTTCTTTCTGGGTTTGCTTGGTATATTTTGAAGCTCTGTTATTAGGCATATATGTGTGTATCTTCATGAAAGAATTCTTTCATCACTATGAAATGTCTCTATCCTTGATAATATTCCTTGTTCTGAAGTCTACTTTTTTGGACTAATATTGCCACTCTACCTTTCTTTAGATTAGTTTTCACATGGTATATATTTTTTCTGGCTTTTTACTTACAAATTCTTTGTGTCTTTATAAGTTTGGTTTCTTGTAGATTAACTCTAGAGTTGGGTCTGGGGTTTTTTTAATGTATAAAATCTGATAAACTCTGGATTCTAATAAAGATTTAGTTGGGTTTAAATCTACTATCTTGCTATTTGTTTTCTGTTTGCCCTGTCCATTGTTCCTTTTTTCTTCATCCCTTTTTTGAATTAATTGAGCTTTTAAAAATTCTACTGGGGCTCCTGGGTGGCTCAGTCATTAAGCGTCTGCCTTCGGCTCAGGTCATGGTCCCAGGGTCCTGGGATCGAGCCCCTCATCGGGCTCCCTGCTCAGCGGGGGGCCTGCTTCTCCCTCTCCCTCTGTCCCTGCTTGTGTTCCCTCTCTCACTGTGTCTCTGTCAAATAAATAAATAAAATCTTAAAAAAAATAAAATAAAAAAATAAAAAATAAAAATAAAAATTCTACTTAATCTCCAACACAGGCTTATTAACTATACTTTTTTTTTTTCTAGTGGCTCCTCTAGGGCAAATGTCAGCAAAAATCTTCTGTGGAGTGTCAGAGAGTAACTATTTTAGGACTTGCAGGCCATAGGGTCACTGTCACAACTATTCAGTTTTGCCATCCTAACACCAAATAGCCACAAACATGAGTGAGTGTGACTGTCTTCCAATAAAACAATCTTCCAAAGCAGACAAGAAAATACTTTGCCAATGTGAAAAATAAAAAAAGGCAATAAACCATATCTGGCCTATGGGCTGAAGTTTGCTGGCCTGTGCTCTTGGGTTTATAACACACATCTCTAACTTATTACAGTATACTTTCAAGTAATATTTTGTCAAATTTACCACCAACTGTACAAGCTCTTTTCAATAATATATAGCTATTTTCTTCTTCCTGTCCTTTGTGCTATTATTGTCACATATTTTACTTTCATAGAAGCTACAAACTCTGCAATACATTGTTACTACTTGTGCCTTAAATAATCAATTACTTTAAAAAAGATTTTAAAATGAGAAAAAAAAATGTTTTTATATTTACCCATGCATGTACCCTTTCTGGAATTCCTTTAACATTTGTTGAGGTACAGGTTTACTGGGGGTGAATTCTCAGCTTTAGTTTGTCTGAAAAAGTCTGTTTTTACTTCAATTGTGAAAGCTATCTTCACTGAATAAGAATTCTAGGTTGACATTTTCCTCAGCCCTTTAAAGATATCTCTCTGCTGTATTCTGGCTTCTACAGTGCTGACATAAAGTCCAGGGATGTCTTTTTCTCTGATTACTTTTTCAGATTTTCTCTTTATCCTTGGATTTGAGCAATTTCATTATGAATTATGGTGTACTTCAATGTAGCTTTCTCTATGTTTACTTTGCTTGAGCTTTGTTGAGCTTCTTAAATTTGTGAGTTTGTATTTATCATCACATTTAGAAAATCTGGAGTCATTTCTTCAAATATTTTTTTCTGGCTCCCCTCTATCTCCTCTCTTCTGGGACTCCAAATATATGTATGTTAGACCACTTGATATTACCCTGCAGGTCACTGAGGTGGTGTCCTATTTTTCTCGATCATTATTCTTTGTGTTATTGCTAGGTCTTCAAGTTCCTTTACTTTTTTTTTTTTTCTTCTGTTGTGTCTAATTTGCTATTAAGCCAATCCAGGAAAATTTTTCAACTCTCAAAGTCCCATGTGGTTCTTTCTTATATTGTCCCATCTTTTCTCATTGTGGTCATGTGTTCCTTTATGTCCACAAACATATTCATAATAGCTATTTTTAAAGTCTTATAAAGCAATTATCTACTAATTCTGTCACCTCTGTCATTTCTAGGTCTATCTCTATAGATGGAATTTCCTTCTGGTTATGGGTCATATGTCTTAATTAATGGCCATAAGATTTGATGGGATGCTGGACACTTGTTAAGTGTCTGGATTTTGTTGTCTTCCTTTAAAGAGTATTGAGTTTTCTTTTGTGAGACAGTTTGTTTTGCATGTCAGTTTGCTCCTTTTCAGGCTTCTTTTCAAACATTATTAGCAAGGGATTCAGGTGATCTCTACTCTCTAGCAGGGGTTGGCAAAACTGTTTCATAAGGGGCCAGATAGTAAATAGTTTAGGCTTTGTGGACCTAAACTACTCAAATCAACTATGTAAACAAATGCATGTGACTATGTTACAATAAAACTTTACAAAAATTTTTGGCAGGCTGAATTTGGCCCATTGGCCATAGTTTGCCAACCCTTACCATAGAGTTAGTTTAGCCCTACTACTAATGGCCCTTCTGGGGTGTCTAGTGACAGTCCAGGGTGTTTACTGAGGCCTCCATTCTGGTTGGTCATAACTCGAACATCTCTCAAACCTATGTGAGTTGTAGTTATTATTCAGCTAACAGTCTCCAGCTTTTCTTTTTTTCCCTAATAGTATTATTTGACTGGCCTCCTGGATTCTCACCCCCTGTAAGGGTAGATTATTCTTCAGGCAAAGCTCAAGAGGACCACAAGGCATATTTATGGAGCTCTTTCTCTGAAAAGCCCCCTCCCCCTCCCATCTCATGCCTGTCAAATTTCAGCCCCATCGGCCTTCCTGGACTCTTGTCTTGGTCTTCTCAATGCAATTAGACCACCACCCTCTGTTTGGTTCCTTTGGGCTCTACTATAGTCTGAAAAAGGTCTCGAGGTAGAAGACTGACGTGATTGTAGGGTAAGGACAAAAGAAATGGAGCTAAGCATCTCCATCCTGTAGCTGAACACAAAGTCCAGGCTCAAGAGAGGCACAGTGAAATTATTCCAGAACCAAGAGACCTGCAAGTCTCCTGCTTGCCATTCCTTATTAGATTTCAGGAAATACAGGAAGGTATGGTACATACCTACTACCTGTTCATTTTAGCTGTACTACCTTTGCAGTAATACCTTAGATGCCATGTCCTATGGTGGTTTTTGCAAAAGCCGACTTTTTCCCCTTAAGTCTAATTATCCCACTGGGCCATTTTGGATCCCATTTGAATTTCCTAAGGTTTGAAAGGGCAGGTTCAAAATTTATCCCACTCTCCTAGTATCCAGCTATATTAGTCTCCCATGAAAAGCCAAAGGATTCACGATTTAAAAAAAAGTAGCCTATAAGAAAAATTACATTGCTCAACTTCAAAAGGCAGTTGACCAAAGTTATGGAGATGAACACAGAGAGATTAACAATCTCTCTCGGTAGGACCACATATAGTTTTAGGAGCAACCCATTTTACAGCTGGGTAACAAAGACTCAGCAAAGGGATAGATCTTCTTTCCCTATGTGGGTATTTGGTCCAAAGGCCCAGCACTCCTCTAATGTGGATTCGTTTTTTTCTCTCGCTGGCAAAATTTCCAGGTGTGGCAGGACCAGAATCACACAACACAGGCCACTACTTTTTAACACTCTTCTTTAACTAAACTGTTGGTGTCTCCTTCCTGTGACAGGATTTCTGGAGAATGCCTGCTTCTCTGCATTTTCTGGCTTATTTCATTTCATGCCAGATACCTGACATTATTCAGACACTTGTTTTGTTATTTAAAATGGGACAGTAGCATGCCAAAATTTTCCCCCCAAGCAGCAGAAAAAATTAATAACTTTGCTCAGGTTGTTAAATAGCAGAGTACCTCACTGCTCTGAAGGATTTATTACTGTTTTACTGGTTTGCGGGTTTTTTGTTTTTATCTTACCAGGGTGCTAGGTACAAGAGTTCTGCTCATTTGACTCTAACTGCCAGCAGGGCTGGCCTATTTGTGAAGACCCAAGTCCTCTGTAAAATGACCTCTCTTACATCGGGAGCTTCAGCCTCCTTCTATACGCGTTACTGGAAGGGAAGTAAGAACAAAGAGGGGATTTGAACCCAGAGACTGATAGCAGCAGCGCCCATCTTCAAAACCCGACTGGCTGGTTCTGGCCACAAGCGCTGGCAGAGAGGAGCGACCATATTCCCTCAAAAAAACTGTGGTTCTTCATTACTCCCTGCCTCCCATCTTCCAAACATTTCCCCAAAACAAAAAGGACTTACCCTACTATTACTATAACAAAATCCAGTAAATTCCATCCATTCCTAACATAAGCATTAGGATGTAGCAATAATCCATATGCTATAATCTTCAAAAATGTCTCGACTGTAAAAATAATCAGGAAGGCATATTCTACTTTTTCCTGTGAAGAGAAACAAAAAGGGGGGGGGAGAAGAAGAAAAAGAAACAGGAATTAGAATCAATAGCTCTGAGATATAAGCATTCTTCTCCAAGCAAAGTTTTATTATGAGAAATGGCGCCATTAACTCAGCACCTGTGCCAGGAAGGAAAACGTTTTAATTCTAACACTGAATTTCTCATAAGCAGCTAAGTGTAAAACACTTTCCATTCCAGGCTGCATGACTGCATTTTGCCACCTGCCCTGATGCGTGTGCACAGAGTCTGCCTGGGACATAAGGGGCATGTTTGTTGTTTGCACACATTTGCAAAACGCAGCATGTTTTCTTCCTGAGATTGCCAAATCAGGCCCAGAAACGCACAAGGGGGCAACAAGATTCCAACGGCGGCGGCTTGGAGCAGAATGTCCTTTGGAAGAAAGGAAGATGCAGCTGCTTTGACCCTCTCTCCTCCTCCTGGGTTTACGCCCGATTTCTAAGTCATGATCCTCTTTGTCACAGAGCAGCAAGGTGACCTGGGCAAGTCCCTCCTCTCCTCTGGACCTCAGTCTCCTCACCGGCACAGAAGGGGAGCAAATTCGAGATGGCAACCCCCCCTGTCTCCCAGCTGACACTGCTGAGTGACCGCCGCACACCCTCCCAGGGAGTGGGGGCTCAGCCTCTGCATCCTTCCCTCCTACCGGCCCCAGCAGCCATTCCCATCTGGCTGCCCAGACCTCGGAGACTCAGCCCACAAGCTAGCTGACTCTTAGAACCCTTCCCGTTCCAACGCAGGCAACTTCGTGCATCCAGAGAACACATCCCTCAGCAGGTCTAAAAATGTTGACTCCTTTCCTCTTTTGTAAAGGTTCTCTTTATGCAGCTTCGGCTTTAATAGAAATACTGACCCACTGGGATGTGTGCAATTAATTTTATAAGAGGCACTCCCTGGCAAGAGGCTACTTAATAACTCAATAAAAAAACCATCAGCAATTAAAACTCTTCCACATGGGTCATAAAGCCCTCCACAAATATTAATTCTACCCCATGGGACCGAGGGAAAGTTACCGATACCTTAGGAAAATGGAAGTCACAGAATTCACTTATGAAGACGCCTGGTGCAAGCTGTCAAATGAATTTGGCTCAGGAAACACTGAGTGAGCACCTCTTCTATATGACGGACCCCACGCCAGGAGCCAGGATTAGAAAAACAGCTCCATTGCCATCCCTACCCTCAAAAGGTTTAGTCTGGGAGGGAAGGGAAGGGAAGGTTTAGTCTGTTCCAAACATGAACACTGCAAATGCCCCAAGGCAGGCAGTGGAGAAGGTGCTTTTGCATCCTGAGCCCTCTGAGAAGGCCGAAGGACTGGTCCACTCCTTCCCCCCCAGGACTCTGCTTTGCTACGTGACCACGACGAGATGGCCTCAGCACCCTCCTACCAGAGTGCTACCCCTGTTGCCTGGCCTTCCCCGTGTCTCCCCCCACATCCTCCCTCCTTTTTTTTTTTTTTTAAAGATTTTATTTATTTATTTGAGAGAGAGGGAGAGAGGGAGTACAAGCAGGGGGAGCAGCAGGCAGAGGGAGAAACAAACTCCCCGCTGAGCAGGGAGCCCAACTCAGGTCTCGATCTCAGGACCCGGGGATCATGACCTGAGCCGATGGCCGACACTTAACCAACTGAGCCACCCAGGCGTCCCTCACATCCTCCCTCTCTACCACCAGGGAAAGCATCCAACCACCGCTGGACCCCAGCCTTCACCCCCATTCCCGACTTCCCGCTGGTCTTGCTGAAAAGCCGGGTCGTCAGTTCTTCCGTCCCAGGTCCCTGCCATCCCTAACCTGTCCTCCAGAGCTCCCTTTGAACACCATCCAAGAGGTCTAATAAATTCTTTTGTGGTGTGAGTTAGCCAGAGTTAGTGTACTTTCAACCGTATAGAGTCTCACTCATCTCCAACCTGCACACCCACGTTCCCCCTGACCTCCCAACTGGCCCGGTCCTCAGCCTGGCTCCTCCCAGGTACCACACCCCCTTCACGGGGCTGCCAAGACCTTCCTCCAACATGACCCCTACTCCTTCCCCACAGCCGTGTCCTCCGGGCATGCATGAGCCTGCAGACCTCCGGTGACTCCCTCATTTACTCTTCATATTCCCTGAGAGCTGGGACTTTGCCACTGGCTAGGGAGGAGGGATCCTGGAAGGCTTCAATGAGGTGGTAACGCTAACTTTGAGGGCTAAAAGGAGAGAGCAACTCTGTTACTTGAACCAGAAGCAAAAATCCCTGAAAATACCAACCCACTATACTCAAATTAGACCCTGACCACCAAATGTAGGTTGTCAATATGCTTCTAAGACATGGAGTTCTAGGGGAACAAGATATGCTGAAAACAGCATGCTGATTTTACAATTCCTTTTCCCTTTTTTATCACTTCTGCTTTATTTACTAGGCCAAACAGAGAAAAAAGGCTTTTGCTGCCATCAATATTCATAGCAGTTACATCCCTACGTCAACACAGTGCTATACTTCAGAGCAGAAAAACAAGGCAGGGAACAGAGAGTACATCTAGCAAACACAGCTTGTTTTTCCTCTTCGGCTTTTATTTGTAAGTAATATTGCCACAATAATACAAGGGCCATTAGTGTAACTGAATTGTTTAGGGTTCTTTTATATCCCTTTCGCTTGTCCTCCTCTCTCCTTTTAAAGAATTGGGTTTCTCTTTCCAAAAATCCTTAGTGCATTACTTGATGGAATTGATTGTAGGAAATATAATCGTGTTTTATTGTGATTCTCTACTACAGAGACTTTACCCTGATGCCAACGGAACCATCACAGCCTAAAGAGCATTCTAGACCAGTCTGCCTAAAAACCAGTTCTTATCCCCAATCCTGCCATTCAAAAGGACTCCTGTAAAACAAATATACCTCCACAGTAAGCAAATGTAACATTTTAAAAAATTTTGCAAAACAACCATCATGGGCAGGAGAGGTAATTATTTAAAAAAGAATTGCTCATTTGAGAAAAGAATGTTGAGTTAGTAATTTGCAAAGGAAGTCACCAGGAGGGTCAGGTTCCTAACTGGGCAAGGTGGGAATGCACACCCAGCGGAAGAGGGCCGGTGAGATATTGCATAGAGAAGATACGGGGTCTGTGGCCCAGATGGAGAGCGCAGAGGAAGGGCAGGCTGAGGAAGAGGCAAGCAGGAAGCCTCCAGAACTGGACACAAAAGAAGGTATCTCGGGGGCAGGCCTGCTCTGTCAAAGCTCACAGGCCCTGGTGAAACAAAGAGATGAAGCAATTCCTGCATCCCAGTCTCCCTGCATTTGCTGGACAGGACCACTCGCCTGTGCACTCACCGAGCCAGCAGCGGGGATTGTTCTCACTAACAGCAGATCCTGGCTGTGCAGGACCAGTCAGATCTCCTTTTAAAAAAAACCACAAATTCCTCCTAGCCAGACACCATCCTATGTAGGGATGAGAGTCACCAATGAGACCTCAAGCCACCTCAAGGCACCAGAAATACTCAACATCTAATTCAGAAACCCGACAGATCTTCTTTCAAAAGTGAAGATTCACCACGGAAAAGAGTCTCTGCACCAGCTAACCTTGCAGAGAACCTTGAGAAACTGAAACTGTCAACAGTAATGGGTGGGAGATGCCAGGACCCTTGATGACACCAGCTTCTCACCTTTCTGGTTCTCAGGGGCCCTTTCACTAGAAGTGTAGTATGAATATCCAGCCGGCCAGCCAGCCAGCCAGCCCTGTATCTTCACAGAGTTCCCAACCTGCTGACAGAAGATAACAAGGACTTGATGAGCCTAGTAAGGTCCAACTCTTTGCTTTGGTCATCCACCCACATGGCCCCAAATCTTTGGAAAGGCTCTCCTGGCTGACACCCTGGTAGTGTTGCTCATCCCACACACACCACTCTTCCTCACCCTCCGGTCCCAGGGTCCCTATTCGGGGGATCATCTCTTACTGTCTTTGTAATCCCAGCCCCCGGCGCCCACGTGGGACATATATAAGGTACTCCACAGGACGCAGAGAGGAAGGAAGGAATACAGCAAACAAAGCTAGACTTAAAGGGGACTAGAAAAACAGGAGGTTTTGTGATCCTAGCGTACATATCAAAAAAGCAAAACAACAAGGATATGTATCTAAGTTGCCATTAACCCTTTCTAGAACAAGCTTGGAAGAAATGGTCACACTGCTGAATTGACGACTGACCTCAACATCTCGCCTGGCCCTTCCTTTCCATCCTGACCCAAGCCCACAGGGAACGTCCTCATCCCTCCTTCCCTCGCTTCCTCAGTTCTCTTCCACGAGAGCCCTACATGCCGCCGAGGGGCCCCCCTGCTTCCAGGGTGCCCACTTTCATCATGTGTATAAATGCCCCTCTCCAGAATGAGCACATAAGGGACACAGAGCTGGAGAAGCCCAGCCTGGGGGAGCGGAAAGAACACAGGGCTTGTGGCCACAGGATCTGTTTTCTCCCAGCCCCCAGCTCAGCTACTATTTCAGGTCCATGTCCCGTTCCCTCTTTCTAGAATGGTTTCCCCCACCCCACGTTCTCATCAGGCTAAGCTCTTCCTGTCCTTCAAGACTCAGCTTAAGTAACACTTTCTCAGAGAAACCTTTGCTGACCTCCCAGACAAAATAAGGGTCCGCTGTTAGACGTTGTCAAAGCACATGATGCTTCTTCATGGTCCTATTCACAACGGAAATTTTAAATTCCTTAAAGTTATCTCATTAATATTTGTCTCCTCCAATAAGTGAATTTCTATAAGATCAGAGACTATTTCTATTTCAAGCATCATTATATTCTCAAGGCTTGCCACAAAAAAATAATCAATATTTATAAATGAATAAATAAATGAGCAAAATGCGAGGTTTTGAACAAACATTATTCACTGTCCCTTCCTGCTAAGAAGTTCCATAATTGTTTTAGTCTGCTCAGGCTACCATAATGAAATACCATAGACTGGGGGGCTTAAACAGCAGAGTTCCCTCACAGTCCTGGAGACTGGAA